TTAAAATGTTTGCATGTATCTGGGTGGAGGGATTCATAACTTTCATTGATTTTGATGCTTTTGAAAGTATATGCCCTTGAAGAGATTTCCCCTTTTGTTTTTCTCAAAAGAAAAAAAAATGGAAGTGAATAAAATTTATTTTTCTTGGTGAGGTTGGAGAGCCTTAGGAGGATCCTCTCTTTTAAAATTTCTTTTTTTAAAATTTCTTCATTTGTTTGCTTATTTGTGGGAAGGTAGTAGGTTTATTATCATATATTTGGAGGAACAATCTCTTATCTTTTTAATTAAGATATAATTCACATACCACAAAATTCACGATTTTATAGCATACAACTCAGTGGTTTTTAGTATATTCACAAGCTGTGCAAACATCATGCTTGTGCTCATCATGTCCGACTCTTTGCGACCCTTTGGACTATAGCCCACAGACTTCTCTGTTCATGGGATTTTTCAGGCAAAAATAATGGAGTGGGTTGCCATTTCCTCCTCCAGGGGATCTTCCTGACCCAGGGATGGAACCTGCATCTTCTGTGTCTCCTGTATTGCAGGTAGATTCTTTACAGCTGAGCCACTGGGGAAGCCCCACCCAGACATCACCATTGCCTAATTTCAGAACATTTTTATCGTCCTCCAAAGAAACCCTATACCTTTTAGCTATCACCCACACATTCCCTACCCCCCTTCAGTTCCTGGCAACCACTAATCTACTTTCTGTCTCTAAGGATTTGCTTATTTTGGACATCCCATATAATTGGAAGAGATGACTGTAGAGAGCTTTGATGAGGTTGGAGGACATCAACTTATTTTTGCCCCCATTGGTTTTGTGAGAGACTGGGCATGGGCCATGAGGTGCAAATAAAGTTTATAAATTTTAAGAAAATTTTAGGGTGAAAAATACTGTTTACCTTGAGATGATTTCTCATTCTTTCATTCTTTTCATTATTTTTTTTTCTCGGGGACATGTTTCATGGGCTTTGTTGAGGGAAAGGAGCTCCTCCCTTTAGAATTTCTTTCTTTTTTTTTTTCTTAAAATAATTTTCAGGGGAGTTTCATCATCTGGGGTCATTGTCCCTTTTTTTTAAAAAAAAAATTTGTAAATTTGTTTCTTCTATTTTGAGAATAAGGTTTATTTGCTTTGGTGAGGGTGGGGGCATCTCCCTTTTGGAATGGTTACTTTCTTTTTTAAATGCTTCAAGTTCCCCCCCACCCCCCGCCCACTTAGAGGATTATAGTAGGCAGGCTTTGGAAAGATTGGGAACCATATCCCTAGCAGAATTTCTATTTATATTCTTTCCAGAAAAAAAGGCGGGCTTCTTTGGGAGTAATAGGTTCAGGGTCTTGTGCCTCTTCTCCTTCCTTCTCAGGCTCCTGTTCTATGATGGTCTCCTCCGGGAGCATCACACAGGGAACAGCAATCACTACTTTGGGAAAAAAAAATCAAGGCTAATGGAATGTCAGCCTAAAGGTTTTTCTTAAATGAGCATCCTGTGTGTCACAGAAAGGCATATGTTGGATTTTAAAAAAATCTATAATAGATAAATTGATAGTTATACCCTATTAGGTGTCACTGGAGAAGGAAATGGCAACCACTCTAGTTTTCTTGCTTGGAGAATCTCATGGACAGAGGAGCCTGGTGGGCTACAGCCCATGGGGGTCACAAAGAGTCAGATATCACTGAAGCGACTTTAGCACGTATGCACTCATTAGGTATCACATTCTATTTTTGCTCTCTCCCACCCTGCTGCCTTCCTCAGGGGAATAAAAGAGTTAATAATGCAGAGGAAAGCATTCTGCAAACTGTAGAGTTCCATACTAGCAGTAGGCATTATATAATCCTTGTTATAATGCCCCTGAATGCTTTCCTGGCCTCTGTGGATTTTTCCCCTTTCCCTGGAAGCACTTTGGGTAACTGATGGCTCAGCCATTCCTGTGCCTTTTAGGCTGCAGATCCACAGAAGCCCCAGTTGGAGATTTTAATAAACACATAAGAACTGTATTCTCAAAGAAAAAAAAGACCACTGGCCAAATATCTCATTATCTTTTTTAGAACATCCTGCAGCAAATGCTCAGGCACTCTCAGAATATACCAAATACATCAGATGGTGTCATCAAAACCTGGCAAGGAGGGGGGAAAGAGCCTAAGAGAAAAGAAAGTAATTTCATCCTGACCTTCAACAGGTTAAACATTCGAATCTACAATCCTGAAGCTGTTTACAGTCACTGCAGATATTCTGTTCACTTAGGGGGAAAAAAATGTATTACCCCTGAAATCAACAACATCATTAGTCTGCTGCTGCTCAGACTGCAGGGAATAAGGACACTTTCCAAATCAGTTTTTTAATTGTTAGTAATTTGCTTCTTAATTATGATTTTAACATTCATTCTGAAAATGGAAAGATTGACTGCATTTCCCCAAGGGCTATATATTCCAGGCTATTTAAATAAGCATTTACTTATCCCTCTGAAACAAGTGAGAATGCGTTTTTTATTCATTCACAGAAGCAGTCTCTACGTCATTGCTGAAAATGGAATTGATAGGTTTCAAGCTTCAGCAAGTGTTTATTGAGCAAAAATAGTAAGGGCTGAATTGTATTGGGCACTGGGAAGGAGAGATGGTATCTACCTTTGAGAAGCTCAGTCATAGGTAAGATAATAAAGCATTCCAGCAAGAATTGCCAGGTGTCATATAAGCAAATGCCTGCTGCTTTGCAAGAAAACGTGTGCAAAAATACCAGGAAACTGTTCTGTTATGGTTTGGGATATAATGGTAACTGAGGGATACAGAGGCCCCTCTCCACCCTAGAAATAAAAGCCACAAAAGTGTATTTCATCGGTCACCTGTGTGGTGTGATTATAATTTCATTGCTGATCAAACCCAATGAATAAAAATACAAATGGTCTTTCTTCAACCATAGCTGAGGGAAAGGAAGTAAATATGGTTCACATATAGGCAACCCCCCCGCCCCGCCCAAGAGAGTTATAGCATTGTTAAAGAACCAATTCACACGTCTTTACTTACACTTGCTGCCACCAGGTGGGAGACCATGGCTCATTTCCTGGAAATTAAACCATTTCAGAAAGGAAGGAAATAGATTTGGTTCACAGACTGTTATTCTGGTAGCTATTTGGAAAGAAAATATGAACCCTCTTTTCTCTGTCTCTACCCTTATACTTGTCATAGATTTGCAACCAGCAGATTCTGAAACTCCCAAAGAGAGCAGACCACACACTGGAAGACCTTTTTTTTTAGTGCAGTACTGGTCAGCAAAGTTATCTGGGAGAAATTTGCAGTCACATTCAAAGCCTTGGTTTCACTCATTTTATCCTTTGATTTATCAGGCTAACTTCATGCTACTGGTACTGACTGTGCCTTACCATGTAGAATTTCATTGTATAATGAGAGCTATATATTGTTTTGATCTCTAAGATTCTGTGTGTGTGTATATATATACATGTGTGTGTGTGTGTGTGTGTGTGTGTGTGTGTGTGTGATTCCCCAGGCTTGCCTCAAGAAGGCAGTGTCTGAGAACAATGCAACAAAACCCTAGATAAGATGGCAGCCTGTTTGCCTTGAATGTTAAGATGCAAGTCAGCTGGTTATGGGTGATATTTGCCTGGGGAGAATGCAGCAGAGAATGGTCCTATCACTGAAGATCATATGTTCTCATCTGCACCAGGGAGCAATTGCATAGCAACACCTAGACTGTTGGAGAAGTGTTTGCTCCTGGCAGTTTTAGCATTACCCAGATTTTTGCATCCTTAAAAACACTCTATGGTTTGTGTATATGGCCCTTTTCACGGATGGGAAGAAACTCACTCTACAAGATAAGTGACTGAACAAAAAGACCAGCACTACTTGGCAAAATCAAACTGGAGGGAGGTGGTCATGGTCTCCTGCCGAGATGGCCAAGTACCTGTGGGTCAGCTGGCTAGCACGCCTGAATGGACACTGTGTGGAGGAAGCTAACCTTGTTCCCCTACCTTGATGCTCCTTATCTGTCTGGAAATAGAAATTTTCTTGTCGAACTGGTGAGAGATGCTTTCCCTCTATCACAGGGCTCATCCCTGGAGCTCCCGGCCTTCAGTCAGTTTTTCAGAGGCCAAAGAGGCCATACATTCACTGACCATCCTTGTAATTAAACGCTCAGGTGTCAGTTTCTAAGTCCTGCTGTTGGAATCTCAAGAAGGTCAGCCTTATTGGTCTCCTTCTTATCAGTTTTATGCAAACTCTTCCAAAAAGACAAGAGCAAGCACCTGGTTAGGGTGACCTCCCAGGTCCAGCTGCCCTAGAGATCACTGCAGGGAAGGGCTGCCGGAGGAAATGGTGGGGCGTGGAGATCCACCCTCTGAAAGCGGGATTGTTGGATTTTTTTTTTAATCTTAATCTCCTGCAGTTCTGTTTTCTTTCTTTTGAAACCTGTGCACTTTTTCCCCATGTGAAACTTTTCCCTTCATTGTTCCTCTTTTTTGCAAATTCAAGCCTCTCTATTCATAACTCAGGAAGCAACCAGTGCTTCCATTTCCATTTCGAGATGACAACCTCTGTCCCCCATTCCCCTCCATTCTACAAGTGTGCGGTCCAGAGTGACAGGATTCTGAGCCTTGTCCCTATGCCCTGCTAAGCAGCAGGTTGGTGTGATGTGTTGTTTCTGTGTTTTGTGTTGTTTTTCTTTGGGGCGAAGCTCAATGAAGGTGTATGTAAACATTATTATGATTTTCACAATCTTGTGGAACGAAGTTTAGGAAAACGAAGAGTAGGGGGAGCACAAAGAAAGCATGAGAGGCAGACTCCTGAAGATCTGACGCGGTTTTCGGGGTTTCAAGGTCCAAGGAAAGACCGAAAACCTTCTTTCTTCCCCCTCCCCCCTTGGCGGGAGGATCCCGGTGAAGTGCAAAATTTACAAAGGCGTCTCTGAAGACCGGAAGAGAGGAGGGTTCCCATTCACACGCTCTCAAATATCAACTCCGATTTTCCTGTCTTTAAACCGGGACTCCTGTACCATTCCAATTGGCAGCAGTGCGGGATGCCAGTCGCCCGCTTGTGACGCGGCCCATCTCTGTAACGCTGTGTTTGCACCTACCTGCCGGGAAATCCTGCAAACAGATGGAATGGTGGCTTCGACGCACGCATGCTCTCCCAGTCCTCTCGGGCGAACCCTGCCCTTCCCCTGCAGTGCGCGTGGGCGCCGCCCAACCCCTAATCCCCACCCGAATCGAGTACCAGCGCCCAGCGGGCAACAGAGACTCCGGGCCCTTCCCTGGAGCGCTGCCAGTTGCGCCCAAGCTGAGGACCCCCTCCCCAGTGGCAGGGAGGGGGTCAAGCAGGCGACTGCGGCTCCACAGCTTGGGCCTCTGCGGCAGTGACCGCGGCTAATAGGTGTATCCCAGCGCCCCCACTCAATCCCATGCCTGGGTACCGTGGACCGGCCGCTAACACCTCTCTGGGTCTCTTTCGCTCCCTGGGTCGTCTTCCTCTTCTATTTCAAGATATAGGCGCTCACCGCACTGTCCCTTCTCATAGGGAACACTGCTCTGACTCCCAACCGGTGCTATCACCCCCGTTTCTAGCACCCCCCAGCTCACTCTCACTTCCACATGTTGCTTCCCGCCTCCCAACCGCTTCCCTCTGCCCTGGGCTCCCACATCCCCGCATCTTTCCGAGCATCTTTGCTAGTCCGTGGCAACCGAATGGGATGCTCAGGGTGCCCAGAGTCCCGAAAGCAGGATAGCCATACGGTCTCGGCTGGCTTCGAGCCCTCCCACCCGAGGGTCCTTTTCTTACCTTTATACTGGACAGTGGCGCTGGCACTGGTGTTCGCGGCGTTGGCGAGGTCCTTAGACCCTTCTCTGGGGCGACCACCGGACGCTGCAATAAATGTGGTGCTGGGCTCTGCTCCAGACGGGACACTTGAGCCGGCTCAGGGCAGGACTCTGTGGCTGGTTCTCTGGCTGGTACTGGGGCCGGCTCGGGGGCCCGTTCTACGGCTGGTACTGGGATCGGCTCAGGGGCTGGATCTGGGGCTGGTTCTCTATCTGGTTCTAGGATCGGTTCTGTGTCGAGTTCTGAGGCTGGTTCTGGGGTCGCCGCCGGACCAGGTTCTGGAGCAAGCTCTGGACAGAACTGCGGTGCCGGTTCCGGCGAAGGCGCGCGGAGCAGCCGAGGAGCCCGCGCCGGCGGCGACGGCAGGAGCGGCGGCTGCGGCGGCGGCCACGGCGGCGGCGGCTCCGGAGATTCCGCGGGCTGCTCTCCATCCTGAGGCGGGGCAGTGCCCTGGGCCGCGGCAGCTCCGCGCTCCATGGCCGCACACCGTCTCAGGTCCGGGCAGCGGGCGCCCTTGAATTCGGAGGGCTAAAGTACCCTCGGGCGCCCCGCCCACCCCAGTTCAGCAACCCCTTTCAAGGTGCCAAACTTTCCCCCGCCCCGCTCCATGGCTGGCTCCGCTCTGAGGTCTAACCGGGGGATGCTCGGCGTCTCCCAGTGCTGGAACACGCCCCTCGGTGAGCACACACCTCTTCGTAAGCAGCCACGGGCCGGATGGGCGGGAAGCAGAGGGGCTTGAGAACGCGGACTGGACAGAGCGCTTGATGACCTCCTAGCGACGCGCGGGAGGGGAGGGGGGAAGACAAAAAGGGGAGGGGGAGTGGGGAGGCGTTGAGAGGGGGGTGTTGGAGCCCCGCTGTGTTTAACCCTTTAGTGACGCAAATGCAACAAAAATAAAAAAATAAAAAGCTTGACGCGAACTTGAGGGTCTTTACAGTCCCCCTTACCACCCAGCTGTGAGCTGCTGCTCAGGTCGGCTTCCGTCCTGTGTCTGCTCTCTCACCTCAGCAGCAGGTGAACCTAGCCTCGGACCAACCTCTTGCCCCCCATCTCCAAGCCTCTGTGGGCAAGTAATCCTTTTTTTTCTAACCAGGGAAAAGAAATTAGGTGGCATGGGGTTGGGGGTGTGTGTATCTCTGTGTGTCTCTGTGTATGTGTTCAGTCTTTGGGGCTGAAGTAAAATGGGTGGGTGGGTGTGTGTGTGTGTGGTCAATCTCTTGCATTGAAGTAAAATTTGTCCCCCACCTCAGTGTTTGCATTTCTGACCTTTGCCAGATCCGAGAGGTTTACCGTAGGGTACAAGGTTTGAGGGTGCTTCGGGAAACGTGTGCTACGAAGCTGGGCGAGAGCCCTGGCTTTCCGCAGCCCGCGGATGTAGCCCAAGAACCAGGCAAGAGTGCCCGGGTAGCGGCGGCTCGGCTGGGCTCTCCTGAGCTGAGGCTCCCCGGGTATCCGCAGCGATCCGCCGGGCGTCTGTCTGGCTCGCCTTTACGGTAGGAGACTGCCTTTTGCTTTTAGCTGGACTTGTCAGGTTTCAGGAGGACTTTTTTACTGAACTTGTTAATGTGTGTGTGTGCATCTTGGGCTGAGGAAATTCACTGCAACACCCACACCTTTTTCACCTCCTGATACCTCGGAAGCATACTCTTGCGAAAAGAGCGGCCGGTGCCTGCCGCATCACCCTTCCCACCACATCTGGAGACTTTAGAAGCTCTCTCGATCGTTAGTCATATACATGTTCACGTACATACAAACTATCACCTCAGTCAGAGCTAGACTTTAGATGCTAATATACTGCAAAATTGCAATTAAAAATTGAGAAGACCACTCGTTAAGTCACTGCTCTGTGGGAATGGGGGAAGGAGCACCTATAAACCTAATTTGAAATATGAAAAGTGAATTTATCTCTGACACACATAATGCTGCTGTTGTGGATGGCAGCCCTTCTTTTGCAGCCCCTCCTTTCCCCGTTTCCTCCCAGACCATATCCTCTACTAATCCCTCTTCTTTTGCCAACTGACAGTGACCCACCCGGAATTTTCTAGAATCTGCAACATTTTTCTGTTTCCCATACCGCATCCCAGCACTATTAATAATATTTGCTTTATTATTATTATTAACACCTCAGAAGACAGTCTCCCTTAGCCCCCTCCAAAGACCAGAATCTCTGATGAGAGCTGCATTTCCCAGATCCTCACTGCAGCATCCCAGCCTCAACCCACTCTTCTGGAGAAGGGTTACACTGCTTGGCAGCTACTAAGCTAGTACAGGGACCATCCCTAACCTCTGGGGCTGGAGAAGTCCAGGGGAGGTGAACCTTGTCTATCAAGTTCTTCACTGATGGCAGAACTCCTTCCAGTAAACCCACACAGAGGGTTCATCCTCTTCATCCTCCTTGGGGTTTTCTTCCTCTCTTCTATCCCTTACTCAAGCAGCCAAGCTGCTTTTACCCCTAAGGGTTCAGGACTGAACATACAGATGCCAGACCTGACCAGCCAGTAAGCCTATGCTTGGAGCTCACTTCTTGGGCTTTTAGGCTTTGGTGAAATCTCTAACCTTAGAAAGGGCCATTATCTCACATTTGAATCTTATTTTCACTAGGCCCTGGGATATTAGTAGAGCTGAAGGCAGAGGAGTCACCGAGTAGAATGACCTCTTGGGTTAGAGAGTGATGGGGTGCGGTTTGGCATAGACCAGGTGTCATCAAGCAGGGCACCACCAGGGGAAAACTTGGAGCTATTGCTTTATATATGTTAATTGATACTCTTTTCTATTCTTCTATACTTAATCACAAGGAGGCCAAAATGTATGATGTAAACTCTTGCTGCAAGGTTAGGTTGAGGATGAATGTTAAAATAGTTGTCTGTGTGTGATTTTTGCTCCATTAGTGTGTGTTACTGGAGATATATTGGCTAGATTGTCTTATGACTAATTTAATAGAAAGTTATCAGCACATCAGCAGCTGCCTTATTGCCTTATGTTACAGCAGTGTTTTGTTTTGCTTTTTATTCTCTCCTTAGCTCAATGTTGAATGCAATGATTTGCATGGGACCACGGTTTGCAGGGGTTTGGGGCAGGGGAGAGAAGGGGAGGATGGTTAGAATGGATTGATTGGTGCCTGAGTTAGGGAGACACTTTTGCTGTATCTTATCTATACCTTCCTTTCCCCCATAGTCTACTGGTCTCTTAGAGAGAAAGTTTTACTTGGATGCTTGTATATTTTCTTTAAAACGTAACCCAGGGCTGAGGCCATAGTAAGGATTCAGGAAATGTCTGCTAAATGGATGTGCAGCTTACCAGTTAGGATGTCTTTCTTTTCTGAATTGCTTCTAAAAAGTATTTGATATTCCAGATGATTGATGATCTCCTAAGAGGCTCTTTTCTAATTCAACAATACTGACAGAAGGGCCAAGAGCTACATAAGAGTAAGAATGATGACCATCTCCACAGAGGCTTGAGTGGACATGATTCTGTGTGTCCCAGGGCAGACATGGTCCCTCAGCTTGGACTTTTTGGCATGTTATATATGTTACCCAATTGGGCAGGATGAAGGATTGATCAGTATGGTGGGCTCATACCTTTGGGGATGCAATATGCTACCTCACCCCCACCCCTAACATTTATCCCACTTCCACACAAAATAAAGTCAATCCAAGTCAGAACAGAGATCTTTGATTTCAGGCTTGTTAGAAATTCTGGAGAGGCAAAGTAGAGAAAACCCAAGAAATGTGGCCAAATTAAAGCTCATATTACTCCTTTTTTTCATTTTCTTTTCACTATTGAATGAGAGTGTGACACTGCTGAGCTAGAGTGGAAGCCCATTTTTCCCTTGACCCATAGCTTCAATTTTCCTAAACCTTCCCTTTTAGAGCAATTTAGGGCTGAAATAGGCGCCTCTCCTGAGTCTTAGCTGCCAACCTCCCCCACTTCTGCTACCTTGGCAATGTGCAAAGCCAAAATAACAACCTTTATAATACTCTACTAAATAAAATAAAGAGATGGGATGAAGAACAGCATTTACTGAGGAAGGCAGAGGATTCAGAAAATTAATTTCAATGGGATTAACATGCAAACCCATTATCCTTCACTTGCTCTAGTCCCATAGGATTTAATTGATCCAAGATTGGGGGTTTAAGAGTTAATACCTTGTATTCATATAATGCCTTTGCTTTCTAAAGTACGTTCACATATATTATCTCACTTGAGCCTCACAGCAAATGTGTGAGGCAAAGCAAGTCTGGACTTCCATTCCACACCCCTCTAACATTTTACAGATGAGAAAACACAAGTCCATTGAGATTAAGTGATATGTCTTGGGTCACAGAGATAATTAGTGGTGGAACAGACATTTAGAACTTGTGTCACTCAACTCCCAGAGTGTAGTGCTTAGTTGGGGTTTTCAAGACAGGGGCTGTGTAAATCCTCTCCATCACAATGCAGGAGGCCTGCTTTAATGCCCTTCTATTTCTTGAGCCTGTTTAAGAGGAGCAGTGATTCTTACATTTTTACCCTTAGGTTTCTCAACTCTCACTCTTTCTCTCGATGGTAGTTAATGATCTGTAGCCAGTCTCACTATAAGAGGACTCTGCTTAGAGGAACCTTTTTGAATATGTATGTAACATAGTCATTCACCCAGTGTGTACTTGTTTTATTGGTTCTGTTTTTATATTTTCTTGAGGTGAAGCATTCCACGGTTAAGATTTAACTGGCATTTACTGCCAGTCTGAAGTATATACAGCCCTTTTAGCTGCAATGGGGAAGGAGAAGACGGAGCAGAAATATTAGACAATATCCTTTCCCTCAAGAACTTTTAGAACTTGGTGATTGAGATAGGACAAATACAGGTGAAAAAAATTCCAAGCACAGATGTCAGTTTATGATTATGACTTCACACTTTGTGCACATGGGGTGTAGCAGTGGAACAAAGTGTTACAGTGTAGAAAGGAAATTGCAAAGGGAGCCAGGAACTCTGGCTTCAGATTAAGTTCTACCACTAAACTTACAGCATGACCTTATACAAATCATTTACTATCTTTGGGCCTAAAGTTTTCTCATCTGAAAAAAGGGGGAGAGGGGATAAAGTTGAACTTGACCAGCTAGCTTTAAATTCTGTTCTAGCACAAAATATCAGTGACCCTGTAAATGAATCAGAGAAAGCTTCTTGGCAGAGAGCATACTTGAAGTGGGTCTTCAATGATGCAGTTAATATGAATCAATAAGGAAGCCGAAGGGAGAGGAGCAGGAATTGAAACCTGGTGGTAATACGTCAATGGTTGAGGTAGGGGGACCCTACCAAGGACTGATGAAAGATGAATTTAGAACAGAGTAAGTGTAAATGGTAGGAAGAAAGCAAGTTGCAAAAGACACTGAATGCCAGACGGAAGGATTTTAAGATTTTATTTTAAAGGTAATTGGGAGTCAATGAATATTGTTTGAGTAGGGGGACATGGCAAAATAGTAAAACTAACTAGTGAGAA